ATTCCCTTGTTCCTGGTCACTCTCCCTTCCTCTGCCAGCACCACCTTGGATGGCATTGGAAGAATATTAGAGCAGAGATACTGACATTCCTCCCACCCTGGAAAAGAAACCCAATTACTCATCACTCCCCAAACCACTTCTTCATCCTATAATAATCAGGGGAAGGACACCTATCAAGAGGCAAAGATTCAGCTGGTGATTGAGATGGGACCTGGGGACCAGAACTGCAAAGCTGCCTCCATGCCCATGATACAGTATTCACTGATATTCACAGAACCTGAGCTAGACAGGAAAGCAGCAGGACAGTCACTAGATCTGTTGAAGAAAAATGGGTAATAAAAGAGGATTATCACAATCCACTTAATAAATCCAGTCTAGAGTTGTGTCCCTGGAGAAAAAGGAACCCTGTTGCACTGCTGGTGGGAACGCAAACTGGTCCAGCCACTCGGGAAGACAGTGTGGAGGTTCCTCAAAAAAGTTAAAAAGAGAATTACCCTGTGCTCCAACAATCGTACTACTGGGTATTCACCCAAAGAATACAAAAACACGAATTCAAAGGGATACATGCACCCCAATGTTTATTGCAGCATCATTTACAATAGGCAAGACATGGAAGCAGCCCAAGTGTCCGTCGACTGATGAATGGATAAAGGTGTAAGATATATACATATATAATGGAATATTACTCAGCCATAAAAAAGAATGAAATTGGGCCGCCTGGGTGACTTAGTCGGTTGAACATCCAACTCTTGATTTCGGCTCAGGTCATGATCCCAGGGGCGTGGGATCGAGCCCTGTGTTGGGCTCTGCGCTGAGCATGGAACCTGCTTAAGATTCTCTCTCTCTCTCTCTCTCTTTCTCTCTCTCTCTCTCTCTCTCTCTCTCCCTCTTCCCCCGCGTATACTCTCTCTCTCTCAAAATAAAATAAATCTTAAAAAAAAAAAGAATGAAATCTTGTCATTTGCAATAACAGGATGGATCTAGAGAGTATAATGCTAAGTGAAATAAGTCAGTCAGAGAAAGACAAATACCAAATGATTTCACATATGATGTGGAATTTAAGAAACAAAATAAATGGGAGCAAAGGGAAAAAGAGAGAGAAAGACAAATCAAGAAACAGACACTCAACTACAGGGAGCAAACTGATGGTTACCAGAGGAAGAGGGTTAAATAGGTGATGGGGATTAAGGAGGGCACTTGTGATGAGCACCGGGTGATGTATGGAAGGGTTGAGTCACTATATTGTACCCCTGAAACGAATATAACACTTTATGTTAAACAACTGGAATTAATATAAAAACTTAAAAACTTAGCAGAGCCGAAGGTCAAAAATACCATCTTCCTTGACGGTCACACTGGCTCAGAAAGATGGGGATGGGACGTGGGGAGGTCGAGAGGAAATTCTATGCACAGAGAACACTATTTGTCAAAACACAGCCTGTGGCCCACCTGCACTGTAATCCTCTATCTGGGCGCTATCAAGAATATGCGGATTCCTGAAAGGCACTCAGTTTTGTTGACTCAGAATTTATAGCTGTGGGGCTTGGGAATGCACAATTGTAGCAAACACCGTTGGTCACTCCTGTGCACATCTAGGTTGGAGATGCCCTATCTACACCGACAGCATGTGCCGCCGAAGAAGGACCAGTAGCTGCTGGTTGGGATGTCCCAGAGCAGAACCCTTTACTGGGCTGGGCTGGGCTAGGACCTCGGGGCCGGGGGCTGGTGATGCTGTTTCTTAATGACCCAGGCAGTCCTGCAGCCTGGCAGCTGGGAAAAGCCAGGCTGAGTGGCAGCTGCTAGAGAAGCAGAGTTAAGAAGAGGTCCTTTGAGCCTAATCAGCTGTCATTCAAGCAGCGGGTGGGATCAGGGTCACCAGCCAACTGCCACCGCAGGTGTTGCTTGGGTGATGGAAGGGGGCTCTTTCCGGGGGGCAGAAAGCAGGCCTGAGGTCTAACGGGGAGTTTTTCAGAGCCTAGAATTGGGCTTTCTATGGAGTAAGTCTGGGGCGTGGCATGAACGTTATGTTCTTCTAACTACTGCTTCCCCACCATGATTATCTCCACACACTCCATTTCCTTATGCTATTTAATTTTTCTTTCTATAGCACTTATCACTACTGATGCTATATTATTCATGTATTTACTTGCCTAGTGTTTGTCCCATACTACGATATAGGCCCCACAAAAGCAGACACTTTGCCCATTTTTTAAAACCTGTGCTTAGAAAAAAGTCTGGAACATCGTAGGCACTCAACAGGTATTTATTGAAAAAATGAATGAGCGTTCTTCACTTCACATCCCTGAGCACAGTGGGGGCTCACGGAAGAGTCGACCTAGCAATTTCCCTCCAGGCTGGAGGCTTCATTTGTTCAGGGAATTATGAGCTCAAGGGCAAGATCTGAGCTTAATAACCCCAAACTGCACTTATTTTGGCCCTGTGTCACCAGACTGTGAGCTCTTTCTCAGTTTGGGGACTGTGCCTTCTGCAGCCTGGTTCCCTCTGTGCCCAGCACAGTGCCTGACACATAGCACATACTCATTTATTGGTTAGCCAAATGCGATGACCATTTGGTAATATTCTATCCCAGAGTTTCTGGCTATCTACCTAAACCTGGACTCTTTTATCTTGTTTTCCAAGAAGGGTGACCTTGCCTTGTGGCCTAGCATAATCGTTGTCCTTCTGGAAGGCACTGCATTCAATGTCATGAGAAGGGCTGAACTGCAGCCTCTCAGACATGGGGACAGGATGGTGGGACACAGATGTGGCAGGGACTTCACAGCGTAGCCTAGGGTTTCATTGGGACCACCTTGGGTGCTCAATGACCATATCAGTTCCTGGGTCCTAATCAAGGCTTACCCAATCAGACCTTTATAGGGTGGAGTCTAAAAATCTGTATTTTTAACAAATTACCCAGGTGATTTTGATGCATGATTTGTCTGTCATAATGGCTAAGAACTTCAGCGTCAGAGTCAGAGATCTCTGGGTTCCAAACTAACTGCCATTACCAACCATTCAAGACCAGGTCAGTCCATCTCCTTGAGCCTGGGTTTCTTCACTTATAAAATGGGGATTAATAAAAGTACCTATCACAAACTACCAGCTAAGATGAACAAACCCTAATGAGGATGAGACAAATAACCTGAATAGTCCTATAACCATTAAAGAAATTGAATTTGTAATTTATGAGTCCCCGAAAAAGAAATCCCCAGGCCCAGATGGCTTCCCTGGAGTCTTTTACCAGACATTTAGACAAGAATTAACAGCATTTATATACAACTTTTTCCAGAAAACAGAAGAGAAAGGAAAACTTCCCTCTTCATTTTGTGAAGCCAGTATTACCCTGTTACCTACACCACACAAAGCGGGTAAAAACAAAGCAAAAAACCCCCTATGCTCACGGTAGGCCAGTATCACTCAGAAGTTAGATGCTAAATCCTCAACAAAATATTAGCAAACCAAATCCAGCAATGTCTAAAAATTATACACTATGTCCAAGTGGGATTTATTCCAGGTGTGTGAGGTTGGTTAAACATTTGAAAGTCAATTAATATAATCCACCATATGATCCAGCTAAAGAAGAAAAAAAATATGATTATATCTGTTGACCCAGACAAAGCACTTGACAAAATTCAACACCCATTCATGGTAAAAATTCTCGAGAAGTTAGGAAAGGGAACACCCCCAACTTGATAAAGAACATCTACAAATCACCTACAGCGAGCAGTGTGTTTTTAAGTTTCGTGGTGAAAGGCTGAATGCATTCCCCCTAAGGTCGGAAACAACTTAACGGTATTAACGTTGAAGTTCTAGCCACTGAATAAGGCAAGAAAAGGGAATCCATGGCATCCAGATTGGAAAGGAAGAAATAAGATCATCTCTATGCGCAGGTGACAGAATACAAATCCAAATCCAAATACAAAGAAACTGAAAGTACTTAGTTTGTAAGGTTAAATGAGAAAATACCTATGGCACACCTAGCATGGTGTATGGCCTGTGGGAAGAACTTAAGAAATGAAAGCTGCTATGTGATGACGGTGACGATGGAGGAGAAGGAGCGAAAGAGAAAGAGAAAAAGAAGGGAAGAGGAGGCGGGAGAGGAGGAGGAGGAGGAATTGGAAGAAGAATCTTCATGATCTCCCGGAAAGGTGAGACCCTTCAGAGGCCCTGTTCAGCTACTCTGACAGCCGGATGTTCTCCAGTACGTCTGCTTCCTGCTCTAATCAGTGCATCATTTCCTATTTCTCTGGCTTTTCGAAGGTTGGAGAAGGGCTAGCCTAAGAATAGAGGGTTGATTATCCGGGCGATGGAGAGGCTGGGAGACCTTCAGAGGCACCTGGAATGGCTGTCAGAATCCCTGTTTCCTCTGGTGCGAGAGGACGGGAGAAAGGGAGGACGAGCTGATGGAAGAGAATGCGGAAAGGAGTGGGGAGTTGGAAGGGGCCTCGGAGGCCGGAGACGTCCTGGGCAGACGGGAGAAGACAGGTAGCAGATGGGAGAGGAGGGCTGTGACCAGCATCAGCCGGGCGTGGGTCAGTCTGGAAAGAGCTGGCGGAAGAGGACCGGCCATCCACTCCGATGCTGAAGGGATCCAGTCGGTTCCTTCCCCGCAAGCTCTGGAGCCTGACACTACTCCAGGGTTAGGGCGAAATTCAGGGAGTAGAGGAACCCAAAATAGCGGGCCAGGCCTGGGAATTCCTTCCTTATGTGATTTCCTCTCACCCCCCCACCCCACCCGCCGTCCCCTACAGAGCATGACTGACTGCTCCCTCTAGCTATTCTGCTAGAACAGCAGTCCCTGACTCACGCCAGCGGATGCGGTGGCGGGAAGCGGGGAGGCCTGTGCATGCCAGCATCTGTGCCCAGGATGCGGCCTGTAGCTCCTGGGGACAAGGGAGAGCAGGGGCCATCCTGATGACAGGGGAGAGATGGGAAGGCTGGGGACACGGAAAGGAACAACGAGGAAAGACGTGCCACCGTGGCGGCAGACCAGGACTTACCTGCCGAAAACCATTCCTGGTGAACTGTAAGATTTTCAAGGCATAGTTGGACCTCTGGCCTTTGCTGTTGAATTCGATGTGGCCGGTGAGACCTTCCAATTCTACCTGTCCAAGAGAGAGTGAGTTACAGCACCAAACAGGCCCCGTGTGCCACTTGGCTCCAAGCATTCCACCCGTGTGCTGTTCAGGATGCCCAAGAGAAATGAGGCCATCAAGGTCCATTCTCCCGCCTGTCTCTCAGCCACAGGAGCTGGTGACTACAAATGCGATGTCTCTGGAACCAATTCAGACTTGGTTGGGGCTGGAGGAGGAGAAAGACGCCCCACACCCAGGGACCTCGCAGCTGCCGTATAAACCAACACAATGCCGAGACGGGAGCCTGAACTCAGATCCTCCCGTGTCCCTCCTCCAGGCTGTTGGCTGCTAGTAGGATCTGTCCTCTTTGGAGGACGCCCACCTTCAGGCCTGCAAGAAGTCAGGGAGACCTGACTCTCAATGCAAAACGCAAGCTACGGTGCACCAGGCTTCTCTGCCGGGAGAGGTCTTCTTCGTGGGCTAGAGATCCATTTCCATCCCGCTAGAGGACACGTGGCCAGCACAGCACCAAGCCCGGCCCCCTGGGTGGGACTTCCGGGGTCAGAGGACAAATGTGATCCGCGGTGCATCGAACGGGGTCACCGCATATGGCTGTCGTATCTGGGACTGTGATGTACGGTGGAGGCCCGGAGGAGCAGGGCCTCGAACAGGGGATCCCCCCCCACGCCCTGCAGGGCCCCGGCCGCCCCTCACCATGCGCAGGTAGTTCATGAGGCTCGTGCCGTGCTGCCAGATCTGGGCCGAGCCGCAGGACAGGGGCTTCACGCCAATCTCCTGGCTCCGGTTCAGCTCCTGCACCGCAGTCACCACAGCATAGACGGCGTCAAACAGCAGGGCCGAGGAGAGCTGGGAGAGGGCAGACAGTGGGCCGGAGGGGCAGAGAGAGAGGAAGGGATGGGTGTAAAGGGGGAGGGGAAGGGAAGGGAAGGGAAGGGAAAGGAGGAAGAAAAGAGGAGAGGAAGACAAGGGAAAAGAGAAACAGAAGAAATAAGGGCACTTCTTTGTCGCCCTTGGCTCACCTCCTGTGTCTGGACCCGCTCTGCTCTTCACCTACGAGTCCAGGTGCTTGCCGAAGGCAGACAGGGGTGGCAAAGGCTTCTCTGGGATTAGATTATCAAGCTATCCCTTTGGACCCCAAACGATTTCAAGGCTATCCCTTTCTCTCTCCGCTCCAGGGGTGTAGCAACTTCCATTGCTCTCAGAATCCCCAAGAAGGGGATGGAGCTGCCTACCTCAGGACAGGGAAGGAACCGGGACACTACGTTCGGATATGCCCGTGCCACAACACTCAGCGGAAGGTCCCTGACCCCTAGAAGACCCCACGATATTCTTTCTTCCTGGAGAAACCATCCTACCCTCAGTCTACTTTGTGCTACTCCGTGTAACGGGTACGGTTGAAGCACAAGGTTGAGTTCAAAGCCCGAAGATGAGTAGGACCCTATTCTTGTGACAGATTACAGCAGGATGGAGGAGGCATGTGGGGAGGTGGGACCCAAATAAGAGTAATGTGAAACTGAGTGAGGGGGCGCACAAAGGTCTGTGGGGTCCATAGAGGAGGATCCCGTGGGGTGATGAAGAAAATGTTTCTCGGAGGACACGGCGTTGGAACTGAGCGCTGAAAGATTTTGGTAGGGCTGTCATTGGATCTGGGAGGGGGAGCGGCTGGGAAAGGGAGAAAGGCACTCCAGAAAATGGAGAGGTGGAGAGTGTGGTGTGCACTTGGGTGGGGGGTGGGGGGGTGGAGAGGTGGGAGGGGAAGAAGCAATAAACCAGAAATGCAGACAGGGGTCGCGCTGCAGAGGGAATTAGAGCCGGAGGAAGAAGCTAGTGCAGTCTGTTCATATTATCATCTCCCTATTAAATTGCAAGCTCTTCGGGCAGGACCAACCGAGGTCATAGCTCTGTATCCCTCACAGCATCTAGCACCAGGACTTGGTATGTGGTAGGACCCCCCAAGACATGTTTCTTGAACTGAATGAAGCTTGGGAGTGAAATCTGCCCACAAGACTCAGCCAGAGCACTACTCGATGAGTTCACTTGGATGTCCGCAGCTTTGGGGAGGTGCAGAAAAACAGAAGATGCCCGTCCTTGAGGGGTGGGCCCTCTCAGGAGGCAATGACACCACGCTGTGCACACAGTGTCCCTGACAAGAATAACCTACGGGGAGTAAATGATGATAGCGTCAAACCATACAGGAGCCCTGAGGGGAGGCCCCGGGGGGAGCAGTGAGATTGGGGTCCGGAAGCCCACACACCATCCGATTACCAAGCAAGCCCCTCCACTGAAGAGCGACACTGCCATGGGCAATTCAATACTGTGCCCTTGGACGGTCCCCTGCTGTGACTTCTTACAGCCTCCTCCTACCTGGCCAGGCCCTGGGAGAGACACCCCTCCGAGGGGGGGGGTGCAGGGAGGCCACCTTGGGACCGCTGGGATCTTTTTCAAGCTCTCAAGACAGAGTGTAAGCATCTTGAGGCCGGAGGTACAAGAGAAAGAGCTTGAAAGCGGGAAGACTAAACCCAGAGTCTGGATCCCAGCCCTCACGCAGGTGCTGAGCGATCCCAAACACGCTGTGGAACCTTGGAGAGAACAACGGTTTCTGTAAACGACTGGCAGCATCCTGCCTCACAGATCCGCAAGGTGCTCTGCAAACTGCAAAGGTCAGGTGCCACCGTTCCTGAGGGCGGGGGCCGCGCACCCCCAGGTGCGAGCAGGTGTCAGCTGAGGAAGCAGGTGCTGGCTGAACTAAGGCTATGGGGAGTAGCAAGAACGGGGAGCTGCGAGGCAGGAAACAGGCTGGGAAGAACGACTTATTCCCTTTGCACTTCTGCTACCTGCCTGTGACGGCAGCTGGGGAGGCTGACTCGGGATAATCTTTCTAAAAGGCAATTAACAGGGGAGAACAGCCCAATAGAGTTTCTCTGCCCTGATCCAAGCTCACTTGTACTGTAAAACTGCCTCGCGCGTGTATTCATTCCTCCCCCCCCCC